AACTCCTCAAAAGGTAAGATTTATTAATTTTTTCTCACATTGAATATTTCTAATTTCTCAATAATTTTTTCATTGCTTTTGTGATATTCTTTAGGTTAATGTTAATAATATAAAATAATTGTTATGAATATAATTAGAATAGATATGTATTAGAATTGATTCTTTTGTTATCTAATTTGTTCCTGAAAAAAAAAATTTTGATCACTCTCAATCAAGCCTTTTGATGTTTTATTTTTGAACAATGACTATTTATGAATTTAGTTCTCATTACCAATAAAATTATGTGTTAGTATTGTGATGTGATAATAATCTTTTCTTTTTTATCTTTTGATAATTATAAATAATTGTTGTTAATATAATAATTGATATCATCAAAAATGAGATTGCAATTTCAGTTATACTGTAGTGTGATGTGTTCGAGTAGATCTTATTTATTTTAATAAGTTTATTTATTTATTTTAAATTTTATTTTGAATTTTGTTCCTAAATGCTACTATTAATTATTTATTTATCCTTATAGATCCAATTTGTCCTCAACAAATTAATCTTTCACTAATCCCTGGTTAGTCTTGGGTATTTAGTTCTCGCTGCCCCAGTCAGACTGAAATTATTATTATATTAATTAATTAATTGTTACGGGAATTACCCGAATAGTTGTCTGGATGAATTTATTATTTATTCAATTAATTACTATTAAAATTATGCAGAGTTTTTGTTATAACTTGTATTTTTTTATTATTAATTATGATTGTGACCAGTAAAGACTAAAATAAATCATCTAAAACATAAAAAAAATCATGTTTTCTTGATGAATATATCATCCTAAAATATATCTCTCTAAAACAATACCATCCTGCCCCCCAAAAAACTTTGAAAATGGAATCCTTTCTATATTACATTCAGATCAAAAAAAATTACTAATACATTCTACAAGTTAAAACAAAATAATCTATTGTCCATTATTGTATAAGAATTAAATAAAATGATAATTTGAAACCTTAGTTGATAAATACCAATACTAACATTTTGTGTTAATTACTGTCTTTATGACCAACTTAGGTTCATAAATAAATGATAATAGTAGCAAATAAAAATAAATAGATAAAAATAATTGTCACAGAGGGTCCCACATAAAAATTATGATAATCTTCAGTAAATCACATGTTCTGTATAACATCATGATTTTACTCACTTACAGTAGTAGACCTAATGTAAATGAGTCTCATATTAATTATTTTTGTCTAGATAAATATCATGATCACATTACATTGTGATTAAACAAACAATATTGATCCCTGAAATCCTTAGTAACACCAATGTTCACTTTGTCTGGTTTTGTTGCAGTACACAGTGAGTCTTGGTATAGCAGACCTCAGTATAGCAGATGTCTAATAAAACTCTTGGTTTAATGGATCAAAGCTCAGAACTGTCTATAAGTAAATTCTCTCAGTTTAACGGATTTACTAATTAAATCTTGAATTAATCTCGGTATAACGGATTTTTGAAATTTTTGTTCTAATTGCCCAAATTATCTGCTATACCAAGACTCACTGTGTATGCCCCATTTGGTACTATGTATTACAATTTGCACATAAAATGATCCACATTTTTAGTGTAACATACTGCGGCAGCACCCTCCGCACCCTAAATTTCCAATGTTTCTGGAAAAACCAAATAACTTTATAGAGCTACATTCCCTAGACAAAAGTATTTGGACACCTGTTTTTAATAATCATGCGAAAACCCACATATTAACTATACATAAAATTTTATCAAAATGTAGCTTGTTTTGATATTTTAAATTTTCATTATTATGTATATAGGATTTTGTAAACAATAGATCATCATTTTTGGGGGCTTTTAAAAATATCAAAATCTACATGCATATTCATCAAAACCTAAGCTACATTTTGATAAACAGTTATTATGTGGGTTTTTGCATGTTTAGTAAAAATAGGTGTCTGAATACTTTTGTCTAGGGAGTATATCATCATCATCATATTTGCATATTTGTCTTCATTAATATCATAATATCTATCAACTTTACCAACAACATTGTTTCTTTTTTTAACAGGTAATTCCTGTCACTAACAATCATATGTTCACCTCTTTTTATCAAGGAGTTTAACACTAGGTTTTGAATTTGATCTTGTAGTTCTTAATAATGATCATTGCTGTTTCTGTGAAAAACATTTGTCCAGTATAAAATAGTACACAGTGAAACTCAATACAATATAGACATTTGTGCAGCAAGTTTTCTACACTGCATCAAGAAATCCACTATATCAAAAACTTCAGGTTACAGTGTATGTCATAATTAAATAATATTTAATACATTATAATGAGATAAAATATTTCTTTTATTATTTTTAAAAAAACAATTATTGCTTTTAATTTCTATCTATGTACTCATTAATGTCAATTTGTCTAGCATTATAACATAATATTTCTTTTTACTTTATGAAGATCTCTAACTAATTGTGAATCTACACTCAAATCATTTTGTTGATAAAATTTTTCCCAATATTCCAAGTTCAAAGTAAACATTTTAATCAAAAAAGAATTTTTTGACACGCCCATCTTTATATTAAATAAATGTTAATGACAAATCTAATGGTGTTTAATTAATAATAATATATATTTCTTCTCATTAACCAAACAACATTGATATTTAAAAGTATATCTTATAGCTAATAAAGAAACATTTGAACTAAAGACAGGATGGGCTTTGAAAGGCATCCAAAAATATAAAAAGGAGGAGGAAAACGGGTGACTAAAAGAATAAAATCTTGCCTTGAGGGTACTTTTTGGCAGGTAATGTAAATAAATCAGATTGAATGACAGCAAAGGAAATGGTAAGTAAACTTCAAATTTTGGTATAGATGTTGAGAATGTTCCCAACAACAGCAGCAAATTGGATCAAATGATATGCAGCTAGTTTAAAACAATCATCAGTACCAAAGAGCGGAATAATTATTCAAAGAAAGGTCAACAACATTTAGAGATGAACATTTGAAAAATGTCAAAAAAATAAAACATACATTTATTAATGAGTCTCAGCACTTATAGAAGGCTGACTGTACTTTTAAAGAACACGGATCAGAATTTCCATTTACATATTAATTAATATATGAATGATTAACGGGTTTACATCTTCGCCAGCTGACGAAACTTTAGTGAATAAATCGACTTTCGTCAAAATGGGGTTAGGGTCATGCGACAGCCCTGATATGTACATCTTTTATTGCCTTCTTTTACACTTATAATAGCCAGTGAATGTCCTCCAATTCCAACATTGATCAACAGCCATGACTTGTTATTTTCGGAGCCTTAAAGAATCTGTTAAGAATCGAAGCTTTTATTGAAAATAATGGGTAGCCAACTAAATATGTAGATTCTTTATAAAATTCAGTTATGTATATTTTGAACAATTCGGTCCTTTTTTGGCGGTGTAATAATAATAAACATAAATTTTTTTTTGGCCAAAGCTTAATTTATTTATTGTAAATTTTTGTGCAAAACTTTTGTTCAGGCGATGTATTTGTCAGTTATGAACGTTAAAAATACTATTAATCATTGAACCTATTAAAAAAAAGTTTCAATTAAATCGGTTATGACGAAACATAAAAGCCTTGTAGATTGCTGAAATAAAATCAGTGTAGTAAAAGAATCTAAATAATTTGAATTGGGAAGGATAAAATTAAAAAATTGTAAATGAAATTTTATTCCTCTTGAAAATTAAGATTAGTATTCAAAAAACAAATCCTGGAATTAATGGTAGATACACCCGTTATTAAAATATTAATTTAAGCCAATAATATTAATCCGTAGTCGTTAAAAAAAATGGAAACTACAACTTTTAAAATAATTGATTCATATGCTGAGGGATCTTATAGCATCGTTTACAGAGCAAAACAAATTCCAGCTGGCAATTTAGTTGCAGTAAAAAGATGTAGAGAGATTAATAAGCGTGAAAAACCTATAAAAGAAAGAGTAGAAAGGGAACTTAAAATTCTTTGTATATTAGAGCATGAAAATGTAAATATTTGAGTTTTTTAAATATATATTATATTTATTTAAATTTTATTAATTATAATTATCATAAAGGTTATTTCAGTTATTCCGAATAAAGAACCAATAATAATACTAGATGCACCTAGTAATATTGAAATTAATGTTAATTCATTGGTTTTTCCATTCTGTCCATATACATTAGGTTATTTGTTAAAAAATTACAAATTAAATTCATTGCAACAAAAATCTTGTATTTGGATGATACTTTCTGGAATCGCTTATATACATGAACATGGAATAATCCATAGAGATTTGTCATCAAAAAATGTTTTAATTACAAAAGATGGTATAATAAAGATATCTGATCTGGGTAATGCGTGGGTCGAATCAATTTGTGACGATGAAGTCGTTGGAGAAATGAAACATGATATTGGAACAAGGTTTTATATATATTTATATATATTTTTTAAAAAAAAGCCAAATCAGTATTTATCATTAAATATTATTATTTAACAAAAGATGTTATCGTGCACCAGAGCTTTTGCTTTCATGTCATAATTATGATTATTCGGTTGATTTATGGTCAACTGGTTGTATAATTGCAGAATTTTTTACTAAACCTATTGGATCAATATTATTTAATGGAGAATCAGATATAGAGCAATTGATTAAAATATTTCGTGTATTTGGGGTGCCTACTTTAAAAAACTGGCCAGTGAGTATTATGATTTATTAGATTATTAATTATTTAATCAAAACTAATAATAATAAAAGTATAATAAAAATTTTGTAAGGAAATGAAAGATTTTCATGATTATGGCAAAGTTAACTTTATTCATCAATCAGTTGAAGGATTGACAAATAAACAATTACCAAATGCAAATTCAAAAGAAACGATCGAATTCATCAAAAAATATCTAAAATATCCAAAAAAAGAAAGATTGACTGCAAATAAAGTAAGATAAATTTTGATTATTAATTACTAATTTGTTATTACAGTAATATATATATATATATATATATATATAATTTATATTTTTAAGGCGTTGCAAGATCCTTTTTTTCTATCTAACGATTTTCCAAAAAATAGAATTGATATCAAAAATTTAAAGAAAAAAATTAAATTATCAAAATTAAACAATTCACACATTTATTAATTATGTGTGGCGCAGATTTAGTTAATCAGTATTCATTATATGGGAATGTTATTAGTTTTTTTGAAGTAATAAATAAGCAGATAAAAATAATTATAAGATAGAAAAAAAAATATTACATTTCTTAAAATATTCAAAAATGCATATAATAATATTACATAAAAAAAGAAGAATAATAAATAAAAAATATATTGAAAAAAGAAGAAAATATTTAGAATGTGATTTTTTTGATTCCAAAATAAACTTATAAATTTTTTAATTCATCAATAAGATAATTTACCTGTTCATAAATTGTTTATTTCATTTATCGACCTTATTATATTTTCTAAATTTTTTTTTTTTTTAATTATTATGATTATTATCATTGCCATTAAAACATCGCAGATTTTCTTCTATCAGCTGCGGACTTTCTCCTTCTGTTAGCTGCAGCAGCATGAAGCTTGCTAACAGCTTTACGACGAATTCTAGTAGCAAAATTTTTTGACATTTCAGGCCCTTTGGGTTGACGAATAGGAAGAATTGCATCTGGGTGGATTTTCATTGGTCCGCCAAACACACTAATAAATTAAATAAAAATTAAATAAATTTTAAATTTTATTAAAAATATTTGAAAGAATATTTACCTTTTACGTCTTTCATCTTTTGTAGCTGGAACTATATTAGAACATTGTTGTTGGTGTAAATTACTAGCTGAAGTTGAGGGGCTAATATATTCTTGTGATTGATCATAATGACAGTAATAGTAATACTGCTGACTATCATCTAATAATAACTCATCTTCATAAGGATAATATTGCATGTTATATAAATCATAAATATCAGTTGAATCAGAAGAATTTTCAGAAGATAAAAATCTTGGTGTTGGTGGTGATGATCCTTGTGAATCTGAATCATCAGGATGATTTAGCACAACTACAGATGTACCAGGGCTTGGTTCAACTTGATGACAATTAGCTGTAGTGAATCTAACAGGTATTGAATTAGAATTATAGTTTCTATTTCTTGTTAGCTCCAAAGCATTTAGATATTGCTCATTACACATTAGGGTGTAAGCATGTTGAGAATTATTTGTTGTTGAGGGAGAAGTAGTAGGAAGCCTTAAAGTGGGTTGTCTGATATCTTTTGGAAATCCATTAGAATGTTTTGGAAAAGTGGCAGTTTTAGGAGGATTTAGAAGGTTATAACTTCTATTTATTTTTTGTGGAAAAGTAGCAGTCTGTGGTGCTCTTGCTAAATTTTGAAATTGGGTTGTTTTTGATAAATTAAGTGGTTTTGGAATAGATCTATTGTAGTTTGTTGTTTTTTGTTGTACAGTAGTAATAATATTTTTGTTACTTTTAGGAGGACTTTTTGATAAATTATTATTATTATTATATGATGGTAATGGAGAAGATTTTGATGAGTTTAGTTGTGAACTATTTTTATTGATAAAAGTGACAGATTTTGGCTGAGCAATAAAATTTTGAGAAATTTTTGGAGTAGTGATAGAAGACTTTGTTCCATTAATTTTAGTTGAATTTTGAGAATACTCAACATTTATTAAATTTAAATTTTTACCATTCTTGTTTTTATTACCATTACTATTGTTGTAATTGCTATTAACAATGCTATTACTATTATCACTGCTTTCTTTACGTTGTTTTACTTGTTTACTATTTGAATTATTATTGCTCCAAGGTTGCCTTATTGGGTCTTGAGTGGACGGTTGATGTTGTACTTGTACATCACCGGTGTCCATGTTTCAATAAGAGTTCTTTTCAAACTATAAATATATATCAAATACAAGTATATATATCTCTTTGCAGCAGGTTATTTAAGTATTGAAATGAATGACCGGGTACCTATGATCTTTAGGACCAGCCAGTGGCCCACTTGTACCAAGAAAGTGATGCGAAAAGAAAAAGAAGATTATTGGTAAAAGAAGCAAATTTTAATTTTTTTCTAAAGGATTTTTGAATTGGCTGAGTTTTGTGACAAAAATTTATTTGTTTATTATCACGCATTTGAATGTTTGTATATAAAACAAAAACAATTTTACTTGACATGGGTAAACCCCTAAAGCTCCTTAAAGGTATTGGATCTGCACTAGGGATGAGTCAGTTCATGTTAAATAAATTAACGCAGCAATAGTAGAGTTGAATCCTGGTTTATTTTTGTCAAAATGGATTTATAATTTTTGGACGATCTTATAATTGTTTATTGTTAAAAAAATAACAGTAATTACAATGAACTATTCTGATTCTATATCCCCAACTTGGTGCAAAAACATTCATGAATTTCATATTTCACTTTAGAAAGAGTATCTCAGCAACTAAATTACAATTTAAATATTTAAATGAAAATTTTTAATGGGAGTCATTATCTTCTTTCCATACGCCTTGCCATGGCTGCTTTATAACATGGAGCATTATCTCCTTAACACATCATCATATCATTATTACCATCTTCACTTAATTCATTATTAAAAGGTAGCTTTGCGGTTGTAATTTAAAGTTCTACAACTTTTTTTAATTCATAAATTGAAAAATAATATGACAAACCTTTTAGAATTCCGCAAATAACTAGATTCAAATGCGAGACACATTTTTTACTTATACCACAAAGGTCATTAGAACTTGTTGTTGTGGTCAATTTTTGAGTCAAATATTTTTCAGAAAATTTCATCTATCTTTCAAGGTTTTGTAAACCAACAATGTTTTTATTTATATGTGGTATATTATATACTATTTGATATGAAGATTGATTTTTACTTAATAAGCAAATGTGATTGGGATAATAAAATTTTTAGTTTTTGTCATGTCACCTTATTCAATTCTTTTTATGATCTGCAAACATTCCTATCTTATTGCTGTTATTTTTATTGTCAATAATTATTTGGCTAGCTTATTTACTTATTTTAGAAATGAGACCTCTTAAAAAAACAAACTAATAATAGGTATATTATATGGGGCATGCTGCGACAAAATCAGACAAAGTGAACATTGGTATAACCAAGAATTTCAGGGATCAAAATTTAGTCATTTGTAATGTGATCAT